CCCCAAAACCCCAAAACCCCTATTGAAATTTAAAGTAAAATTTATAAATTATTAAATAAATTAGAATGGGTGACACTATAGAAGAGCAAAAGGCTAAAGATATTGGAAAGATGAACTTGTCTAGGACAGCAGATGTAGATCCTAAAATTAATGAAAAATTCAATTCAAAGACAATTCATAATTTGACCTATGACGAAATTATTAAATACAATAAAGAGAGAAATAAGGGTACTTTCATCGATCGATCATGGAGAGATTAGGTCAATGAAGATGATGATTTGGATAACCCAAACACAACAAGATGGGAAAAATTCAAAGCTGGGAGGTATAACTTTGGTAATTTTACCAGGACTTAGGCTAAAAAACTAGCTATAAAGCAATAAAAAGTTGAGTTTATTGAAAAATTAGTAAACAATAAAAATAAGTATGAAGATGATAGAGATAAGTTGATTCTAAGAAACTTAGAAATTAAGGTAATGGCACAGTATAACCTATACAGGTATGGCATGCTTATAAGCGCTGTAGGGTTTTGCATTTTCAACCTAAGCAACACCAAGAAATCTATACATTCAAGACTCTTTCCTGTAATCTTCATAGGAACTTTTGCTTCATTTTACAATCATTAAGTAGGGATGTATGGAGTTTATTAGAAACTTGATAAGTTTTTAGCTTTTGTGGCAGAAAAATAAGATACTTAAGTTGGCTAAGAAGCAGGACAGTTTATAAATGAGATGAATTTAACTAATAAATAAAAATAGGAATTGAAGGAAAATTAAATTCAAGTTGCTTGATTTTATTGTATTAATTTAATTAAAAATACAATATTTAGTTGAGTATAAGAAATTTGAATAGATCATCATTTTATTTGAAAAATTATTATCTTAAATATATAGATAATATCATTTCATTTTAATTTAAGTTCGGTTCTTTTTCTCTCAATCTGTTATTTAGCTTTTTCAAACATTTACTTAATACCTTTTTCGCTTAAATTATATTCTTTAACTTTAACTGATGGAATAGATTAAGTTGATTGGAATGTATTAGTAGATTCCTTTAAGACTCTATTTGTTTTAAAAGACTTTGTTGCGTATATACTAGTCTTGAGAGTGCTATTTTTCATTGTATAGTTTTATGGTTTCTTTTAAGGCTTTACATAAGGACTGTTATGAAATTAAGTTTCAAACAATTTTTTGCTTTTGTTTTTAGTGCCTTGCAATTAGCTTTTATTCCAATGGAAGGATTATTAAGACTATGAAGTCATTAATGATCTCTTTTTAGATCTTGATTTACTAGTATAGCCGCCATCTTTTTTAGTAGTAGATTAATTGTAATATTCGCTCTGGGAATTACTTAATTCTTAATTATTTACAAATGATGTTTTGTAAGTCATCGCTTATGAGTATGGATTTCCTTTAAAGAGGCTTCCAGATTTAGTTGGTGATTACATCTAGGCTCCTCCTAATTTGAATTCATTAGTAGATCTTGAGTTTCTCAGAGTAGTAAATTTACTTACTTTCTTAGTAGAATTCTTCCTAGATCTACTGCTCGAATTCCTCTATTATCTTTGTGCTGAATGTAGATTTGAGTTTGAGTTACTCTTTTGTCTTGATAATGGAATGCTTTCTTAATATTCTCTAATAATTACAGGCTCAGCAATCTAATTTTTATACTGGAATAATTTTTTGAAGTCAAGAAAGTTAAACCCACATATGGAAGTTTTATCCTTCTATATTCTGTTGACTATAGCTTCTGCGTCTCTGCTTGAAAATACCTATGGAAGTCTCATTAGATATGTTAGCATTTTATCTGTATTGATCAGTCCACTTAGAGATGAGTCTAGATCTATAAAAAGCTTAGTGTAATCTATTCCTTTTGAGTCTGAGTAAGATTTTTCAAATTAAAGCATGAAATCTCTTCTTTTGATCATGAATTCTAGTTCTCTTTCAAGGACACGAGCTAAGCAATGCTCGATTTCTTAGGTGATTTAGTTATCCTGTGTTGATATATTATGCTATAAGTACTCTTCAGTAATTATTAACGGCTTTGAAATCCTGTACTTATATTTCGGCAAAAAAATGGTTGCGAACTCCTTAAACTGCAATTTAAAAGGATTTTCATCAGATGAATAGAACTCTACCAGATGATCAAGATATCTATTATGATGAGTTTATTATTCTTCTTGCAATCTAGTTTTCATAAAGAACCTGCTGAAATCCTCTTAAGTTAAGAATCCCTTTTTTCCTTAGTCAAAATGATTATAAATATTCCACAAGTAAAGATCATTGTTAATTAATTCCTTTTGCTCAAATAGTATTTCTCTTATAATCTCCATCTGTTTTTCATGTGAAGCAATAAATTAAAAGAACTAAGCTAGAAGCACAAGTTTCTCAGATTAATTAATGCTTTTGTGCTCTTGCTAAACAAGATTCTTTAATGATTAATTAGTATTCAGAGCCATTTTTATAATTGAAGTTTTACAATTTATCTGTTAAAAATAGTTCTATTAAAATAAATACCTTTTAATTATCATTATCAGTTAGAAATAGCTCTATGGGGTTTTGGGGTTTTGGGGTTTTGGGG